AAGAAGAATAGTAATGATGTGTAACTTCGGCGCATTCTGAATAATTCTAAGAGCAGGGAAAAAATGTTCTCTTTTCTGTAATCCCATTACAATATCTATTTTTCGCTGCAACTTTTGATCTCCTCAATGAATCCTAATTTTTTGGAGTTAAAGTTGTAAAACAATGCTGAGTCTTATCTGTTCAGCGGTATCCGAGCAAAAAGTCGTAGACGTTTTCTAAATGTAATTCCTATTGCCCAGGGAGTGGCAATAGCTCCTTGTTGACACTCCTGGGAGTGGCAATAGACTCACCCTTTAATAATTTGGTTCTTTAATGTGAAATGAAATTGATGTGCAGTTTGATATAAAGAGATTTAGTCTTCTAACTTTATAGCTGGATTGATTATTTACTATTTTCTACTATTTTATTCATAAAAGCTAAGAAAGCAAGATCTTGGGACGCTTCTTGGGCTTTCTTGTGAATTTCTTCGGGCAAGAAAATATACTGTTGCAAGAAAAAAATATCACCCCGTCAGCTACGTTGCCGGGAGTGGCAATAGCTCATTGTTGACACGCCCAAGGAGTGACAATAGCTTCTTGTTGAAACTCCTGGAAGTGGCAATAGCTCTTTGTTGACACGCCCAGGGAGTGGCAATAGCTCCTTGTTCACACGCCCAGGGAGTGGCAATAGCTTCTTGTTGACACTCCTGAGAGTGGCAATAGACTCACCCATTAAAAAATGTTATTTATTTAACTGTAACTGTGGACATACGGACAGATCGAAGAACCCATGGATTTATTGGTATAACAGGTAAGAATTAGTTCATATCTAAGGGCATCCATATTTTTTGAGAGTTGCTTATTTGGACGAGATAGAAGCTAGACTATTCGAGAAACATCCGGAACTATAACATCTTTGCGCTGTTAGTACTAGAATCATACGCTAATCTTTTTTCTTTTATTGATGCGAAGCCCAAATGGTGTCTGTACAGGATTTTGAAATTACTAAAATGTATAATTTCTTTTATCTTCGTATTTTCAGGCCATTTTATTGCTAAAAATTTCGTTCCACAAGCTTGTTTATTAGATTTCGTACGCTTGAAAGGATCCCATAATGTTGAAAGCTTACGACAAACAACTAGTAGAATTGTTGAACGATTGGGACTAAAAGATAAAATATTTCGTATAATAACAGATAATGCTGCATCAATGATTAAAGCCTTCCAGTTTGGCTTAGACGTTGAATTAGACGAAACTAATAATAATGCTAATATAACATCATCGCAAGGTAGTTTATGTGATAAGGATGATATCATTGATGACAATGAATGCGTTTTACAATTAGTCAATTGGTATCCAGACGCTCACGCCGAAGCAAGGTCCGAAAGTCTGTTATGTCTAAACACAAAACGATTATCGTGTTTTGCACATTCGCTACAACTCACAGTTTGCGATGGTTTGAAAAAAATACCATGTATTAAAAAACATTAGCGAAATGTCATACACTAGCATCATTAGCTCATCAGTCGATGAAAATACAGGAGCTGTTAGAAACGTTAAGCAAACAAATTAAACCAGCGAATGTGACAAGATGGAATGCTGAACTGTTGTTGATTAAGTCTATTGTTTTTATTGGACAAAATGAACTCACAGAAATTACTAATGCCACAGGTGAGAATTCTGTATAGAAATTACATAAGGTGAACTTTTATGGTATACAATTTGAAGAGAAAAAACGAAGTCCTGAAATAACGCTGAGAACTTTTTTATTGCAGAAAACGCCCTTTAATGGTTGTTCCATCAATCGTGCATTTATTAGCACATTTAATTGAAATCAAGACCGACATATCATTACTAAAGGCAATGGTTAAACAACTGCAAAGTTCTCTTGAGCAACGCTTTTCTGGCATAGTTAAGCGACTGCAACTTCAAGAAGCGAATGATACTGATCCATTTAGTCATCCCATTTATTTTGTTGCGGCTGTGTTAGATCCAAGTTTCAAATGGTATCGGATGAGTGAAATGAGATATAATATCTTAGATGCAACTGATTTAAAAGAAAATATATTCTCTTTCATAATGACCGAATGTAAATTTGAACTAAAATCAACTCAAGAAAAATCATATTCAAATCAATCACCACCTCAGTTAACCGGTACTGAAACGTGCACTATGAAATTCATATTTAGTAAGCTTTTCAAAACCTTTTTGAACGCCCACAGACATCTACAGACAGGCACTGACGACTACACAGACAGCATAGCGTTCAAAAAGGTTTTGAAAAGCTTACTAAATATGAATCTCATAGTGCACGTTTCAGTTCAGCAAAAAACTTTTCTTAAGGAGAAAATGAGTTTTAGTTTTGTACAAAGACTTTTGCAATAGCTGTTACTGGCGCAAGTACCCGCACAAGTTTCGCCTAATGTCCTTATGTTTTTTTTGTAAATAAATTGAGGGGTAATAACCCCCTCCGCCGCATAATAGAAGACCATCCCCTATTAGAAGATCACTGCCGATTATATGACTTGAAAGCCAAATAGAAGACCATGCTGACTGGAAATTTGCTGAAAATCCAGTTCAGCAAAATACTTAAAATTCTGTCTGTATGATAAAGCCACAGTGAATTTTCCCTTTCAATATGATAAAAATTATCTGCCGAAGCGAAGAGACGGACAACTGTGCAGAAGATCAAAACGGATGCCGATTCACAGGAAAATGTGAGCAACATCGTTGTTAATAACTATTAACAGTAATAAATGAAATTATATATTTTGAGAATCATATCATAACAAGTACTAATTACATCTAAAAAATGAGAGAGAATACACGTCCTGTGAATCAAAAATGACGAGTTTTTTTGTTGTTGTTACAGAGATACCCTGAAATCATGCCCAACTGCGATATTGAAGACAATAAATAATTGCCTAGAACGTTTTCTTTCTTCTTCAAATGTTTGAGTTGATGACTCAATGAAACGACTCCTTTTATTACTGGGATACTGTTATCCTTGATAGTAGTGCTGATAACATTCTTTTTTCCCTTTGAAAAAGAGTCCAAACAACAAAACAGTAAAAATGCATTTCGAATAAACTGACTGATTTATTTATTCAATCATTTGTTATTTTGAAGCGTTTTACATTCGTAAAATGTTAAGCCCCGATTAAAATGTTACTTTCCAATTAAAAAGCAAATCGAAAATCACTTTAGTATATAGGAAAATAGAGCAAACATTTCTGATCAAAATGATGTTCTGATCTAGAGTTACGAGAGTTTTGCTGGAAGCGCTAAAACATACATCAGATACTGGCGTCACCATATTTCGAAAGCGACTTCTCCATGCAGATGAAAAACGTCGTTCGGGGGGGTGCGGCCGGTACTCGAAAATAGGTCCGGCCTCGCCGAGGGCTGGACCCCTCGAAAAATGGCACTTCGGACCCTCGATATAAGCTTTCGTGGGGTATCGATTTCGAGCCTTCGAATAGGGATGTTTGGGACTTCCGAGCCCTTGCTATCTCGAGAGTGCGACGAGGGCTCGGAAATACCTCTCAATACAAATACAAATTTTTTTTTATCTTGACATCTTGTTAGTGTGGATCATTCTGTGATCACTCGCTAACCATCTGAAGATGAGTGAATGAAGAAAAAAGATGTAACCAGTACTATTGTGCCGTCGCCGCCAAATGTGAATGCGTTTTTCTCTGATCGATATAAAAAATCTATCTAAGTGCGTTTAAAATACTAAATAAAATTGAGACGCGTCTAAACTACCTTCAGCTTTTTAAAAAGCAAGATGCGTCCGAACATACTTTTCTATCATTGAGATAAAAAAGCTCGTTTATAAGCACCCTTAGGACCATCTTGATTTGAAAAACGCGTTCGGACACGATGTTTTTGGAAAAATTAAAGAAAAATACGTCTGAACGTTTGTTTCTATCGAAAATTTTTCCAGTGAGTAAAGAATTGAAACTCATACTAGTATACTAGGGCAAAAAAGGAAGTTCGGAATAACAATGAAAAAAATACAAAATTCATTCCGTTACACCCGTATGTCCCTTCCAAGGAACATCATGTATCCACGCAGCAAAGCAACATCACTTAAGTCCAGAGATATAACAAGGATGTACCGAAGAGCGGTAAGCTTCAATGCAGTAGTTATTTCAGCTGCAGCTATAATAAAAGTGTCTTCGGGTGTAAAGGGAAACTGAAGCTGACACACACATGTGGCTAGAGGCCAATAGAGCAAGAATTTTGATATTGGGTGTAGATTTGTGATTAGAAAAACATCTTTACCAAAGTTAATAAGACTTTTTCGAATTTTGGATTTTTGGCGCTGACCATTAATTTGAAGAGTAAAATATCAAAAATCCGGCTCTATTAGTCTCTAGTCACATGTGTTTTCGTCAATTTAAGACCAATCCGAGCTCTCCACAGCGTTTCGTTACCCGGCAATCTTGGAGCTATGAACAGTCCCATTTAACTCCAATAAATATAACTTCTTCATAGATGGGTCTGTTATGTCGAACTGAACGATTGTCTATGAGTAAATGTACTTTTGATCACCAAATTTTTCAGCATGCAACTCACATTCTTATTTCTCAACAGAGTATAATGTACAACACAAACATATTCATTAAGATTTCAACCAAATGAACAATATTTTTACAGTTTTATTCATATTTATTTAAAAAATTTAAAGCTGTGCTAACTGTCTTGGGATGCCCTTTTGCTTTTCGTTTGCCTAGTGATTGAATCGTGTTTTATCGCTAACTTGATACAAGTTAAATAAAATTGCTAATCCAACAAAACGTTTAAACGAATATACCGTATATTCGTTTAAACGTTTAAACAATCCTGTTGGCTTGTTGTACTATTATTAGTGACTAATAATAGTACAACAAGCCAACAGGATTGTTGACACACCAGAAAAGTACTGAATTGACTAGGTAAGTATCGTTATCTTCTGTGGGTTGTATTCAATAGTTATATGGTGTGTAAACAATCCTGTTGGCTAGTTGTACCAGTATTAGTATATTCTGTTGGATTAGCAATTTTATTTAACTTGTATCAAGTTAGCGATAAAACACGATTCAATCATTAGGCAAATGAAAAGCAAAAGGGCATCCCAAGACAGTTAGCACAGCTTTAGATTTTTTAAATAAATATAATTACAACTGTAAAAATATTGTTCATTTGGTTGAAATCTTAATGAATATGTTTGTATAGTACATTATACTTTGTTGAGAAATAAAAATGTGAGATGCACGCTGAAAAATTTGGTGATCAAAAAAATTGATACCCATTATCTATTAAATATGATAACAAAAATTTCTATTTTCAATTATATAATGAAATGATATGGCAGAACCAAAGATATATAGTTTCCTTATTTCCTGAAGTTCATCAACGATATATTTTTGTTTTTTTTTATGGTCAATCATTTTGCTATTATTCTTTTATAATAGTTGGATAATATAAATGCAAATATTAACTGTCCCCTTTTTGTACTGAGAATAGAATTCGAATCTCAAAACAAAGCATGATTGAGATAAAAAAAATGATGAGAGTGGACAATTATCGTTAATGAATATTATTATCATCATCTTTTACGATGCGAAAATAATGAAGACAAAAAGAAAGAGAAATATGATAAAAATTATTTTCCTTTATTACAGATGCTTAATTGTCGAAAACCTTTTTATAAATTTGTGTCAGACACCGTTTTCTTCTCTCTATGAAATTCTTATCATCAGTCCGTTACTCTTGTTTATCTTTCGTTTTTTGGCTTTTTTAATCATACAGTATATAAGGAGATACAATTAGTTTTAATATTTTAAATGCGAGATATTTCTAATGCTTTAATATTGTTACAGTTCAAATGTTTTAAAGATATCAACATCATACATACAGTAAGTCTAAAAACAAGCTATTCTAAGAGTGATTGACAAAGGTGTATAGTAACGTGTGAATATCTACTATTTTGATAGTGTATGTTTCTGTTTTATTTCTTAATAGAAATCTCGATTTAGAATAGACAATAAGAAGAAATCGATAATTTTTATTGCTTAGACAAGATGTCGAACGCTAAATGGCTAATCAATTTTGATTTTATGATTCACTAAACATGTTAATAAAAATCGTAGATAATCTATCTTGATAGAGACAAAATAAAAGAAACGTTGTTAGAAAAAATTAATTAAATATTTAACGTCTCGCTTTCTACATACTTAATATATTGGCGCTGCCTGTCATCCTGATGACAATCGGCTACTTGCTGCGCACCAGAACCAGTAACCGATAGCATGTCATGTGCACCAGTAGG